ACAGAGGGGAAACTATTATACCTAGTATTTGTATTTAAAATTGAACATTGAGTGGTGCAGTCTTTCATGCCCCATATCTTGACGTTATTAACGGCATTGGATTCCCTGATTCCCTTTTAATGGTCTGTACTTTGCATATTTATGTATCCTCAAATCGTAGCAGCTCTACAGTGGCCTAGTACAGCCTTACAAAGCAGCGTGGAGTCTAAATCTTGCAATACAAATTTAAATTTGACTGGATACAAATTAAAAGGAGCATTAAGATTGGTCCTTAAAACCTACATAATTTCCTTAAATTTAAATAAGGATTTGGTAAATTGGTAGAGTGGCTGGCCTAGCTTTTCCTTCCAGCCTTGAGAATTTAAATCACAAGTACTCTATTTGGATCTCACAAGATGGACTACTCTTCCAGTTGTTAAATGTACACCGGTATATACAGTACTACATTGTTGATTCTATGGACAAGACCATTTTTATGTGCTTACAGTTGATGCTGTTAAGTGTGGGCAACAGTTTAATCTTCAAAATTTATTTTGTTGTATGTGCCCACACTCTCTTGGACTTCATACACTATTGTATGTTCCGGGTGTCCCCAGGTCAGAAAGGGCAGTCCATATGACCTGATAGTTACATATAATATTATTTTTATACAGTATTTATAAAGCGCCAATGGTTCACTCAGCGCTGTACATTACAAAGGGGGACAGAACATGTGACAGAACAATACCAATACAATGCAAAACATGAGGGGATCGATCTACACAAACTTGACTTATTGCTGGTAGTGGAGGGTTGGAGTTGTTGATCATTTCTATAGGTCACCATTGCATCTTACTGGTTGTGCTATAAAACAAGGTTTTACCAGAAGCTGAAATTCCATCGCAGCTCTTGATGGGATCAACAATTGTATGGGAGAGGGGGCTGGGGAGCTTTATTTTAAGTATAGGGGGCCTGTTGGGAAGGGGCATGTCTTTTCAGTGTGAAAACATCCTTTGAGTTTAATATGATGATGGAATATTTTGGGTTATCCACAAATCTAATAAAGATAAACACTCAGCCTATACTCCTCTAATATTCAGCATTTATAGTATAGAAATGAATTTAAATTGGTCCTAGTAAAAATCCTTTAAATACAGAATGGCCTTACCAACTTCTTCAGGATTCCATGTACTCTTTAGTCCTTTCCCTTTTGCTGTGGCCGCTGCTTTCCATATTATACCATTGGGTTTTGAAAGAATGAACCTTACACCCTAACGTTCTTGTGTATCAGTCTTGTATATAATGCCATACACTGATCATTGGCCATAGACTTGCATGATGGCCATACTGACCCCATTTTATGGGGCTGCCTGCAAAGTATTACAATGTGTTCACCATCCTAGATTGTTTACATAAAGCCTCAGCACTACTTAGTTCCTAACAACATCTTTTTATAATGCTGTCTGACACCCCTTGCCCTTCCGAATATGTGGCATCAGATCATTTTTTATTTTCACTTGAAACCTGGATTCTTTATGGCAGGGCTGGACAAACCCCAGGAGCCAAGTAGTTAATGTACCTAAAAATTAAAATGAATATCTGTGGGTTGGATCACATCTTGCTGCAGCCAATGAAAGCTGGGGCTCTGACTGCTTGAAGCAGGTCTGTATGGTAATGGAAGTTCTACTCATTATAAATGTCAATGTTCATGGGGGTGTGTTGGGACCACCCATGACTTGGAATTGGTTATGGAACCTTTCCTGTTGATGCCAAAACACTCTGTTCATATCAAGGGTCTTATCTCTGTGCAGTGTCAAGTATGGTCATACAATCCTATTTTAAAAGTCACCCAAAGTATATTGTTGTTGGAATCCTCCAGTTCTCTTTAAGGGCACTATCCCTAGGTCAACAATACTACGATGATGGGGTGCTACTGCAGTATGTTACCCCACCACCCATACTGACAATCAAGTGAGAGAAGCCCTAAGATACTTGGCCTTCAGAAAGAACTGCACTAGAGTACCTGGTTGGCTGATCAGATGCCCAAACGCTAGCTCAGTAGTAAGGGATTAGGGGTCTGAAGTTCAGTCACTAGCAGAGAAACTGCAATCATCCCCCAATAGTTGAGAACAGTTTTGGGAGTGCAACCAACAGCTGGAGGCCCCCAGAGGATTGATTTCTGCTACAAAAGTTAGGGTTTCAAGGCAATTGCTTTTAGAGAGCAGAATTGTCAGGGAGAATTTTATAGTATAGATCAATTTTAATGTTACTATTTAGGCAAAACCGCCTCCCATGCCGAAGAGTTGGCATTGACGGGAGGAATGTGTCTTTTCTCTTTAGCACCAATTATAGCTCTTTGACACCTGCATAGGTTGGCTTTGTTTCCTGTAGTGTGCTCCCTTTTCACTGATGGCATTTTGTTGATGTTTGTCAGCCTACGTTAATGTACTTGGTCTATCGAACTCCTTTAGGTGAACCTACTGGCTCCTGAGTTCCTTATGAATTTGTCCCTCTCTGATCTATGATGCAGGATAGGTTTCAGTAAACCGTTTTCCCCCCCCTGGTGCAGTTCACATGACCATTTTCCCGGCAAAAATAAACATTTCACCAAGTATTCCGTGTGGTGTTCATGATCCGATTCTAATTGACCCCTCCTTCCTTAGTTCATTTTTTTTGATGTAGGCAGGGCAACAGCTGATCGGATTCTTACAAGGATCCTGGGCGCTCATTGAAGAGTTCAGTTAGTATTGATCCTCTTCAGACTTCTGAGTGCATTGAAAGGAAAGTGAAATCCAAAATTCTGACTATAAACCAGGCAAGGGTGACACTAGCCTATTGACATTTAGTTGGGATGTATTACTTTGTGTCCCAGAATATTATAACCGATCCTTGGTTTTGCTCATGCACAGATAACTCCTGCATATGTTTAACAACTGTTTGTCAGATTGAATTAGGAGAATGTATTCTCATGGCTGGAATTTTCTTGCCTGGTAATTATTACAGTAACCTATCTGTAATTTTATTTCTTGTTCTTCAGCTAAGCGATTTCTTAAAGCAGGTCAAAGTTCTCCCCTAATATTAACTACGATGTACAGTAGTCAACAGCATTCCCTTGGCTCCTGGCTCTTCCATGATTGATTCTGTTAGCTGTTTATCTGGAGCCTCTAAAATATGAAGGGTTGGCTTGCACAAATTAAGTTAAATGTTCGTACCCATCAGCTCTTTTACGAAATGTTTGATATCTGTAAAAGTAGGGGTTATGCATTTTTTTATGTAGTCCTCTATAGCAGGGTGGCCTATAGGTCGTCTGTCAATGGTAAACTCTATCATCCAGTTTAAAAATTCTAAGCTGCTTCTCTGTTTCTCTGAACCCCCTTGTCAGTGGGACATTCAGTACCGTCATTTCATTTTTTTTTTTAATTATTATTTATTTTTTATATTGCTGACTTCATATCCAACCACTTTTAAGCTAGCCATGCATGACTAGATTTTTCTTGTTCTGCCTCATGGGCTGAACAAGAGAAATCACTTGAAACCCCCCCCCCCCATTCACTGCTAAACCATTTAGCAAGAATCTGACAAATGTCAAGACCTGTATGGCTAGCGTTGGTCTTGGTGACCATTGTCTCCAATACAGAAAGTTGTTGAGGGCAAATGTTCCAGTGGGGAACCTTGTTCTAGTGCCATTTGGAAGGGGATATCCCTTTGTTTTGAGATCTTCTCTTTTCTGCTGTGTCCCAGATGTGTGACACAGGAGAAGGAAAACATTGACTTCACAAGTATTGGTTTTACTTGGCCACCTTGGGTTTGCTGTGGTCACCCACAGAAGCAGATATTTTGTAGAGTGTACAATTACCCCAACTGTATCAAGAACAAATTAAAAGAAATTCCCGATGGCATTCCACATTGAGAGATTGGAGCAGTTCCACTTCTTATTTCACGTACATAGATTTTGGTGGTTATGAAGATTTGGACCAGTCCTTTAAAATAAAAAAATAAATACTATAGGCAATCCCTAAATTCCAGTTGTGACTGCACCAGAGCTTTCATACAAGCAAGGTAATGATTAGGGCCTTTTGGCCAACACTTCAGGCCACTAAGTAGAGCTGGCGCTTTAGTAATTACGTTAACAGTCCTGGCCCAATGGTATAATTTCCAGGTGTGTGCCACATAATGTTCAGGTAGCTGGGCAAGTACATATTAACATTTTGTCTCTTTTTACTCAAGGTGAGTGACACAAGCAGGTAAGTCCCCCTCCCTTCCCTGTGTCCTGGACTTACATCCCATTGTGATGTAATCTAAACTGGAATCTGCACCAGTCTGAGATCAGCTGCGGTAGTGAATTGCCTGTCTGCTGCTCCTTATTTTATCTCCCCTCCCCCCTTCCCTTCCTTGCTTTTGGCTGGTTGTGAGTGGATTTCGGATACTCCTCGAAGCAATAAAACGATATAAAATTCAATCTGCTGCTAGTTTGATTTAGTTGAGTCAATTCTTTATTTGCATCTAGTTTTTTTCACAGCTTACAGAACAGTTGGTGAGCAGGTTACATGGGTGAGATTCGGCCACAGATTCTTTTTTGTAGTGGGTATATTTGGCTTGCTAGGCCTTATATACGGAAGTGTCAAAAAAAGTCAGTTTGGTTCCACAGCACCCAGTCAACCTTTCATATTCCTGCTGCAGGCAGGGAGATGAAAGACAACACAGAATTCTGGACCCTTCCATACACAAGGCCTAGTTACCCTAGCCATCATTGTTTGGGTTGGGCTTTTTTTTAATTTTTCTTATTCCACTGGTTTGTCTTCCTAGTTCATAGGGAACATTGGTCCGCAGCTTGGACTGCAGGCCTTCAAGTTTGATAGTTCGGTAAGCTGTGAGAATGACTCTTGTTTGGTCCACTGTAGCTTTCTGGTCTCTGCACTCCAAGGCAAGATTTTTCTAACCACCCAAAACCCATTGTGTAACCACCTCAGTCTGTCCCACTCATCCCTTGCTCACCTGCTTCCTTGTCTGTTTCTTCTGCAGGCAGAACTGATCCTATCCCGATTGTTGTTAAATATGATGTCATGGGAATGGGCCGCATGGAAATGGAGGTGAGTGAATGTGCTATGTATGCAAATTGATAAATTGTCAATGTTTTATGCACAGAGGTGCTTAAAGTGGTTGTAAACGCAGGAGGTTTTTTTCCTTCATACATTTTATGCATGAAGGTAAAAAACCTTCTGTGTTCAGCAGCCCCCCCCCCCCCCCCCCCCAATACTTACCTGAGCCCCGATGTGCATGAGTGCCTTAGCTATCTGGGGAATCTCCCCCCTCAGCTGAGACAGCCGCAGGAGCCATTGGCTCCCACTTCTGTCAATCACAGCCAGGGAGCCAATGAGGAGAGATGGGGTGGGCTAAGCTGTATCTCTGTGTGTGTAAATGGACTCAGGAGCGAGCCTGCTTGGGTCCCCCCGTAGCAAGCTGCTTGCTCTGGGGTCACTAGGCAGGAGGGAGAGGCCAGGGGCGCTGGCAGGGGACCTGGAAAGAGGATAATCGGTGCAAAACCACTTACTTGCACAGAACAAGTAAGTATAACATGGTTGTTGTTAATACAAATACTAAAAGTGCCTTTTAATATCACTTTAACGCAGAAACCTCACTTAGATTCTGCAGCTTAAGCCACATCAGTGTTGCAATTAGATATCCTTCTATGGATACTTTGCCAAATCTCGTCTTTGGACTGGTGTTCATGCAGAGCACCAAGTAACCATTATCTTTAAGAGGCAGGTCCGTGGTGTCTGCCTCCATAGACATGTCTTGCGTTTCCAGTAAGCGGACCATATAGATAAAAGCTGAAAAACTGCTTTTAGTATTTTTTTTATATATAATAGGACCTTCCTCCCGTAACTGAGGTTGGCAGTCTTGCCATTCAGATAATCCTGGTCAGGGCACGATCTGCATGAAGTTTTGCATGTTCTGCCTATGCTTTCATGGGGGTCCTCCCACACTCCAAGGCATGCTGGTATCTCAATTGGCTTCTTTCCAAATTGGCCCTAGTATTTGTATTTATGAATGTTCGATAGGGACTGTAGATTGTAAGCTCCTTGATGGGGATTAATGTAAATTATTATTTATTGTACAGTATTTATATAGCGCCAACGGTTTGCTCAGCGCTGTACATTATAATGGGAGACAGTACATGAGACAGTAACAATACAATACAATACACGAGGGGTTCGAGGGCCCTGCTCCTTGGAGCTTACAATCTAGGAGTGAGGGCAGATTGGTACAGGAGGAAATAGCTGTGGGGGATGGAGTGGTGGGAAGAGTGCAGGAGATCAACAATTCGGTGAGGGGGCGGGGTAGGCTTCTCTGAAGAGATGGGTTTTCAGGGTGCGCCTAAAGGTGAGTAGGGAAGGTGACAGTCTGATGGATTGGGGTAGTGAGTTTCAGAGGATGGGGGAAGCCCTGGAGAAGTCCTGGAGATGGGCATGGGAGGAGGAGACCAGGGGACTGGAGAGTAGGAAGTCTTGTGAGGAGCAGAGAGTGTGTTTTGGGTGGTAGATGGATATCAAGTCGGTGATATAGTTTAGGGCAGTGTTATGAACAGCTTTCTATGTCAATGTTAGTATTTTGAATTTTATGCGTTGGGCAATTGGAAGCCAGTGGAGGGATTAGCAGACGGGGGTGGCGGATACGGCGCGGTTGGTAAGGTGGATGAGTCTGGCCGCAGAATTCAGGATAGACTGAAGCGGGGATAGCCTGTGTTGGGGTAGGCCAGTGAGGAGGGGGTTACAGTAGTCAAGTCGTGATATAATGAGGGAGTGAATGAGTTGCTTTGTAGTTTCAGGAATTAGGACCGTGCATATTTTGGAGATGTTGCGGAGGTGGAGTCTGCAACTTCTCAGCAATTGGATCTGGGGCTGGAAAGACAGATTGGAGTCTAGAATGACACCTAGTACTCTGGCTTGCAGGGTGGGGCTGATGGTGGCATTCTTGGTCGTGATGGAGAGGTCGGGGGGAGGCGCGGGCTGAAGGGAAAACTAGGAGCTCGGTTTTTGTGCATGTAAATGCACAGCATGTGAAGCGCTGTGTAAATTGTCGGCGCTGTATTAATACTGGTAATACATATGGTTCTTTTCTGTTGGATGCGCCACAAAACAAGATTCCTCCAACGGGTGGCTACTGGTAACTAACACACAAGCTGGGTGAATCGGCAGATTGGTGATCTCCATCTCTCTTGGAAGCTCTTTGAGTTTAAGAAATGCCTTTGTGTATAGTTGCTGCTTATAGTTTAACATTCTGCATTTGTATATTTAGTTACAAAACTGTTGTCTGCCTGTTTTTGCTGACCGATCCACTTTAAAAGAAATACTTTTTATTTTTTGTAACTTTTTTTTCTCCCCTGTCTGCTCTTACCAGCTGGATTATGCAGAGGATGCCACAGAGCGAAGACGTGTATTGGAGGTGGAAAAGGAAGATACAGAGGAGCTGAGACAGAAATACAAGGTTATTCGTCTTTTCGCAATACTAAGACCTACTTTTGCCCATCAATGTGTCTTCATGAGCTGTTAAACGTAAGATTATACCTGTCCAACTGCATTACCCCACTATGCAAGTTCCCGAGGTTTTGGCAAAGGTGGCACTCTAAAACACCATTATAGAGGAAGGCATGGAAAATGTCACCTATGCACCATCTAAAGTTTTGGGAAAACTGCTGCATTTATCGGTGAACTTCCTTCTCGTGGAGTTGACACTTTACAGTATGGATAGGACATTGGCACAAAAACAGAATCTAGGAACAGCCCCTGTTGATGACTAAACCCCCTTATGCCCAGATTTTTTTTTTTTTTTTTTTGCTTAGTGTCAAGGTTCTGGGGCTCTTATTCAAGGTACTACATCTGCTTGTAAGGTTTTGGAGCTGGTGGCCTTGTCCTGTAAAGCCCCCTATTTGAGGTGGTGTCTGCTTTCATCTCAGTGAGGACCTTGTCCTGCCTTCTCTTTGTTCATAACCAACACTTACTGGTGCGGGTTTACAGCCACAACCTCTTTCGTAAAACAGACCATTTGTGGTTTCTTGGGACCCATGTATCTTCGTCAGCTACTTTTTTCGAGAGTGATTTGGACCACTGCTCAGGCCTACAACTTTAAAGGTCAGGATAATCCTTTTCCTGTTGCAGTCCATTCCACTGGAGACTACCGTGTCCCAGGCTTTTCATTGTTGGGCAACCACGTCTCAGGTCTTTAGGGCACCTAACCGGTAATCTGTCCACACCTTCACCAAGTTTTACAAGGTCTATCGCCCTTGGATGCATGTTTTGGCCGCAAAATTTTACAGATTTATTAATTTCTGGGGATTTTGTTTTTTCTGTTTCTTTTTTCAACTATTTTTTTTTCACTAAATACCCCTCAACCCTCCATGCAGGGTCTCAAGAATAAAGTACTAGGCTGTTTGCTTTCCATGAATGAAATGAAAATGGGATTTTTTTTTTTTTATTGTACTCCCTGCAAAATTCCTTTAACTGTGTTCATTGAAGGACACCACTCCTGTCTTTTCTCATTATTTTCTTTCTATTTTTTTTTTTGGGGGGGGGGGGGGGGGGTTTCTACTGCTTTGTAAGTAACTGGGCTTCTTATGACGGATAGGGAGGTTTGACCACCAGCACGGTCTGTTCCTAGGTGGCGCTTTTGTTGTGCCTAAAGTTCTCCTGGAGATGGCACTTTAACTCTGCGGTCAAGTTTAAAGTGTTTCTAAAGATTAAACTTCTGTTTTTTTTTTTTATTTAAAAAAAAAATATCATTACCTGCTCTGTGCAATAGTTTTGCACAGGGCAACCCTGTTTCTTCTCTTCTTGAGTCCCCTGTGGCGCACCTGGCTCTACCTCTTCATCTTCATCTAGTGCCCCCATAGCAGATTTCTGTGCAGGCTCGCTCCTGAGCCCTGCTTCCTCATCACAGAATTTGAGAGCCGATACCTTCATTCAGAGCGCTGGATAGTGATGAGGCTCAGGTAAGTGTAAGGGGTGGGTTGGGCTGGATATAGACTTTTTTTACCTTCTTGTATCAAATGCATGAAAGTAAACAGTCAGAGGTACTCCTGAAGGCAACAGGTTTCAGCAGCATTAGAGGGGTTACTATTAACCCTTTATTTCCCAGTGAGGACTTTGATTCTGATGCAGTATGCTCCCTGTATAAAGTAACTTTCTAAAAACAAGGAACATTGAGCTACGTTGTAGTTTTTTAGTTTAAAATTCCCTCCAGTGGCTATACTGTTGACCACTAAAGTGGATTTAACTACAGTTGCAAGGTAGCTCAGTGTCACTTGTTTTGGGCGGAATGGGCCAGTGGTCAGTTTCCAAAATGGTAATGATTCCTAGGTCACTTGTCACAGGTCGAGGCAGAGTTTTTTTTTTTTTTTTTTTTTTTGTTTTTTTTTTCCTCTACAATTGTGGGAATGGAACAGGCTGGATCTAGCTCTTCTCTGCTGTTCTGGGGGTGGGGGGAAATCTCTACCAGTGTGAAACCCTGCCCTGCTCCACTCAAAATGAAATTGCTTTTTTAGACCATATTACTTTTTGAAAGCAAGGTAGTATCACACTCTGCCAGTAATGTGGAACAACCTCTGCAAAGTCAATTTGCCTCACTCCAGCCCTTTGGTGGTTCCATCTCCCATTCCCAGAGCAGCATGAGCATCTGAAAATGATAAAGGGGAGGGGGGGGGGGAGCTGTATATGCTTTTGCTTTAATTTTTAAAAGCAAGGAAATGCATTAACGTGTTGGATGGGAGGGGCTCAATGGCCTGCAAGCCACTCTGAATTTGATTGTATATGGGGCCAGGACTTGTTCACATGCTAAGTAAACATTCAGTCGTGACAGTCTTGCAGGAGGTTAAAGTCGATGGCTTCTCAAGGCTTTCTGTATTGTTTCTAAGCACTTACTATAATTGCACGAATGAAGCCCATCCAGTGATCCCATAGGAGTTGCAGAACCATTAGCTATCTACCTTTTGTATTTTTCAGAGCCGTTTCCTATTCTCATTATCGCCATGCAGCTGTTGCTGAGCCCCCTATAGGGCACTAAGCTGAATGCCGTCTGAGCAAAAACTAGCCCGCAATGCACTGCCACCTATCCAGATTTAAAGGGCGTGTTGTAATTGGCGCCTTGTACAATCTTTTTCTCAAGTTCAGCGTTGCTAGCTCTGTGCGTGGGCTTGAGAACATTTTTCCAAGTCTTGTGCTTTATGGCTGTCTGGCTAATGATCTGTAGCTGCCTTTGTCATATCTTTTGGCTTTCCATGTAGATACTGGAAGTGTGGGACATCCAGAGGTGTCAAAGTAATAATCACTGGTTTACCCTGACATCTAATGGCCAGACTGTGGAACTGAAAATCTAAATCGCTGTATATTATCAGTGAACAATTCTGGGTCTCCTGTCATGGAACTAGGAGTCCCATCATAGCTTGTCAGACTAACACCTAAACATGGATGTCCTGTGATCTGTGCAGGATTTTGTGGACAAGGAGAAAGCCATAGCGAAAGCCCTGGAGGAGCTACGTGCGAACTTCTACTGCGAGTTATGTGACAAGCAGTATCAGAAGCACCAGGAGTTTGACAACCACATCAATTCCTATGACCACGCACACAAACAGGTAAAGTGAAGGCAGAACTCTACTCAAAATGGGCTTTCCCTTTTGGGTAGATTGGGGCAAGGTTTGATCTTTTTGCTGGGTCTTTGCTTTTGGAGAGATAGCTACCCCCCCCCCACCCAGCAGAGCTTCGATAGGGCAAAGCAGGTCACCATGAAAGAAATGTGCAGGCTGCAATTGCTGACCACCTTCAGAAACTGCTAATTTCCTGAGTGTTTTGCTGATGCATGGTCTTTAAATTCTTTTGAGCCATTTATTTATTACAGGTTTTTATATAGTGCCGTCAATTTACACAGCGCTTTACATATGTATTGTACATTCACATCAGTCCCTAACCCTCAAGGGGTGAGCCATTGACTTCAAACACATTTATTTAACTATTATTTGTTGCATTCCTGTTTTGCATCAGTGGCTCAGAATATGTTGAAGCCAGGCAGCTAAACAGGGCCTGCAGAGGCAGCCCCCCTCCATGTCTGTTGTGAAAGAAACTACCTATGCCATTTAATAAAATCCATTCTCCATATATTTCTGTTGTTAGTCCCTCAGAGGTGATGCAGTACAGCTCTCCTTCAGCCTCTATTGCATTTTTATAACTGGATGTATGGAAAATTTGCATAAAGTTTACTTTAAATGCAAAGCTGAGCCCGTCCCAGCCATGATGAGAGGCCATCTTTCGAGGCCCTGTAATTGGAATGAGTACAATTTAAATCCTTTAACGAGGATCTATTGGAGGGCAAGTCTGGTGCCAGCAGCTGTGGTAATTCCAGCTCCAATTGCGTATATTAAAGTTGCTGCAGTTAAACCAGAGTCCCTGAGAAATGTGGACGACACATGCTGGGGGATTGAACCCTACCCCACTCCTTTCAAACTGCAAATGTTGGCTGGTTTCTTTGTAGGGGATCTGTACTGAGAGAATTACTTGGACCATCCTTGCTGTGTCAGCATTTTCAGAAGGTGGTGAGCGGGGGCAACCTGCAGATTACAGTACAGGTTTTCTAAACCTGGGCAAATTCAAACAGCGTAAAATGAGAAATTGTACAAGCAGATGTGTTACTATTTGTGATGACATTTGGGACAATCAACAGTTCCAGTATGTAAATAGTGTGTTATTATCTTCTCTGTGTGCTGCTCTGGTCCTGGTTTCACTTTTGTTATCAAAAATGAAAATTATTTGACATGGGAGAGCCTAATGCCTGAAGCCCACCCACCCTGATTCTCTGCCTAGTCAGAGCACCCTTTTGGCAATAGAATGATGGAGTAAAGTATCAGAGGTGAGGCACAAAAGTGAATTCCACATTAGGGGGGCGCAGAGAAAAGACTCTTAGTAATAGCATGTTTTGGTATGGGCTTTTGAATTGAACTTTTTAAATAAAAGAATGACATACCTTTTAATTGTGTGCTCATGTTTCGGTATATACAGCATTTTCCACCCTACCAATTCAATGCTGCCAAATATCTGGTGTGTCTTGCTGTTAATGTTTAATTTTGTTTTTTAATGAATTGATCTTGTACTCAGAAAATTTGCAGCCAGCACAGAGACTAATACGTATAATGCTGTTCAGAAAAATAACCACTTCAGAGTGAGGATGTTAGGCCATTATAATTGGTGAAGTAATAAAATTGTGTAACCATGTATGGAAAAAAAATTCCTATTGAATTGCCACATAGCATCTGGATCTAGTTTTTAAAGTTCCTTGTAAGGCTTTTGTCATAGTGCAGCATGCTATCATGAATCTGATGCAGATGAATTACTCAGAAATACACTGCTCCAAAAAATTAACGGAACACTTTTTAATCAGATTTTAGCATCAAGTCAGTGAAACTCCTGGGATATTGATCTGGTCAGTGAAGTAGCAGAGGGGGTTGTTAATCCGTTTCAGCTGCTTTGGTGTTAATGAAATTAACAACAGGTGCACTAGATGGGCAACAGTGAGTCGACCCCCAAAACAGGAATGGTTTTTACAGGTGTAGGCCACTGACATTGTTTTCCTTACTCATCTTTTCTAACTCCTTTTCACTAGTTTTGCATTTGGCTAGGGTCAGTGGCACTACTGGTAGCATGAGGCGATACCTGGACCCTACAGAGGTTGCACAGGCAGTCCAACTCCTCCAGGATGGAACATCAATACGTGCCATTGCCATAAGGTTTGCTGTGTCTCCCAGCACAGTCTCAAGAGCATGGAGGAGATTTCAGGAGTCAGGCAGTTACTCTAGGAGAGCTGCGCAGGGCTGTAGAAGGTCCTTAACCCATCAGCAGGACCGGTATATGCTCCTTTGTGCAAGGAGGAACAGGATGAGCACTGCCAGAGCCCTACAAAATGACCTCCAGCAGGCCACTGGTGTGAATGTCTCTGACCAAACAATAAGAAACAGACTTCATGAGGGAGACCTGAGGGCCCGACATCCTCTAGTGGGCACTGTGCTCACTGCCCAGCACTATAGAGCTCAATTGGCATTTGCCATTGAACACCAGACAGAATTGGCAGGTCCCCCACTGGTGCCCTGTGCTTTTTCACAAATGAGAGCAGGTTCACCCTGAGCACATGTGACAGACATGAAAGGGTCTGGAGAAGCCACGGAGAACGTTCTGCTGCCTGTAACATCATTCAGCATGACTGTTTTTTGGTGGTGGGTCAATGATGGTCTGAGGAGGCGTATTCATGGAGGGACGCATAGACCTCTACAGGCTAGACAATGGCACCCTGACTGCCATTTTTTATTGGGAAGAAATTCTTAGACCCATTGTCAGACCCTACACTGGTGCAGTGGGTCCTGGGTTCCTCCTGGTGCATGATAATGCCCGGCCTCATGTGACGAGAGTATGCAGGCAGTTCCTGGAGGATGAAGGAATTGATACCATTGAATGGCCCCCACGCTCGCCTGACCTAAATCCAATAGAACACCTCTGGGATATCATGTTTCAGTCCATCTGACGCCACCATGTTGCACCTCAGACTGTCCAGGAGCTCAGTGATGCCCTGGTCCAGATCTGGGAGGAAATCCCCCAGGACACCATCCATCATCTCATTAGGAGCATGCCCCGTTGTTGTCAGGCATGCATACAAGCACGTGGGGGCCATACAGACTACTGAGTACCATTTTGAGTTGCTGCAATGAAATTTCAGCAAAATGGACTAGCTTGCTGCATTATTTTTTCACTTTGATTTTCAGGGTGTTTTTGAATTCAGTCCTCTGTAGGTTGATCATTTTCATTTCCTTCAAACGATGGGGGCATCCTTATGTTCCTAACACATCATCCAGTCCATATCAGTATAGAGATCCAGCAGATTTGTCCCTATTGAGATCTGATGTGTTTTCAAAGTGTTCCTTTCATTTTTTTTGAGCAGTGTATTTCGCAAGACGTTTTTAAGATTTTCCTCCGCATGAAAAATTGTCTTGTAGGAAGTACCTTTTCATGCCTTAAAGAGAGCATGTCATAGAGCTAGAGAGCAGCCATTTTTTTTTTTTTTTTTTTTGTTTTGGGGGGGTTTTTTTGTTATTTAATTTTCTTGTTTTTTTTGCAACTTGTATCTTTCTGTCATCTTATGGTTTAGCGGCTTAAAACCGTGGGATGATAATCGGTGAATTAACTTTAAAGATAAAACAAATTCCTGTTGTGACACATTCACTTTTGGTAAACTTTGCAGCATTTAAAAACTGCAAACTAAGCAGTTTGTGCCATGCTTTCCTAATTACAAACCTACAGTATTCCCAGCAGATTCTGTGCTCATGGGAAACATCAGACCAACATGTCCGAAGGTCTGTAAATGCTTGTGTTACAGCTTCTCCATCGATTCTTCAGATAGTCGCTTGTCGCAATAGCAGTTTGGTTTTTCCTCCTAGCTTTTTGGTCACTCTGGAGCGCACCAGCACAGTCATACGGGATAACAGATTCAGTTTTCCTGGGACATTCCACCTCCTCATCCCCCTCAGGGATAGCTGCCTCCAGTATATTTTGCAGGAACTTCTTACAGAGTCATAGATTTCAAAGCAAAAAAAAACAAAATATTGTAACTTTGGTTTATTTAAAAACAAAACTATTACAAATGTTAGCTCTAGCATGCCTGATGTGTTCTGCTGATTGGCTACATCAAAGGCACTGTGCTGGCTAAACAGATTAGAGCTGGTGTTTTGTAATTGTTTTTTATTAAAGGCGATTCAAAGAAGTTACCTCATCTTGGAAGTGACCAAAGAGCTAGGAGAACAAAAAACAGGACAGTGGCTGTTGCTGGCGAATACCTGGAGGACCGATGATGGGGAGGCTGTAACAGCAAGCATTTGTAGATTTTCAGAAATGCGGGTCTGAGGTTTCTGGTGAGTGCTGAATCTTGTGGGTATCTTAGTATTTCAACAGCAACACTTTCAATTACAATTCAGGTCCGTACACATGGACAGTTATAGGCATCTTTAATGCCTAGTGTAAATTTGCTGATGCTTTCCCGTGCCTGGGAAGCAGCATGTGCCATATACAGCCTGCAATACGAGTGAATAAGCTATATGCAGACCTACTCTCATAAACGCCGATGCTTCTTTGCATCAGCATTTGTTTGTGCATGCATGTCCAGGTGTACTTCTTGAACGTGGAAGTTTGCTTTGTATGGGCAGGCTGTATGCGGCATGTACAGAGGAGATATGCTCAGCTGACAAAGGTTTTTGTCCACATTGCAGAGGCTGAAGGATCTCAAGCAGCGAGAGTTCGCCCGCAATGTTTCTTCACGGTCACGGAAGGATGAGCGTAAACAGGAGAAGGCATTACGACGGCTGCTTGAGCTGGCTGAGCAGAGGAAACAATCCGAAAGGTGAAATCTTTAAAACGAGAGTAATGGTCATTTTCTTGGGTTGCTCAGTGATATGCTGTGTGCATGTTAAATGTCAGGACTTACCTTTTTAATATTTAAAAAAGAACTCAAGAATACCAAGCTCAGCTTGAGATCTGTCTGTGCACCAGTGTTTTTCAGTGCTGTGTAGACATCCCTGACCTATTTAGGTGAACAATGCTAACTGAGGTGACTTGTCTGCACAGTACATATAGTGTCCATAGAAAATAGTTTTATCTTTGGGATGCTATTGTTGTACACAGGCTGAGGTGATTTCTGTGGTTTTTTTTTTTATGGCTTTTAGATTCTACCTGTCGTGTGTTTTTTTTTTGTTTCGTGTGTTTTGTTTTTTTTTAATACAAGTTGGAAATAAAATCATTTTGTAGGTCCAGTATGTCTAATTTTCTATGCAGTATTCTAACCAGCTTTGTGTTTTCTATGAATTGGTAATTTTATTTCTTTTTTTTCAAGTAGTGCTCCAGGCAGTGGCCCTATGTTCAAAGCCACCACAGTTGCCGTGGATGAAGAAGGCACAGAAGATGAAGATATGCCAGGTTCAGCTGGCCAAGATAGCCCAAAACACATTCAAGAAGAAAAAACACTCCAGACAATCTCTGCCCCAACCCAGCCAACAGCTCCAGCAGTTACCTTTGCTTTCAAAAGCCCAGCTAGTTCCTCCCTACTCCAGAAGGTGGGCTTCTCTTTCTCCTTTGCCAAGAAAACTCCATTGAAGCTGGAGTCATCGGCAGCTGTCTTCAAGGACCATGGTGAGGAAGTGGGAGTAACAGAGGAAGAAAAGGAAGAGGATAAAGCCTCTGCTGATATCATATGTACAGTAAAAAGTCCAGTGGAAGCAGAGTGCAGCAAAGAGAGTGAAATCAAAGTGGAGGAAGAGGAAGATCAGGGAGATAATGGTTGCTCTCTTGCTAACACCTTATCAAAACTAAAGAAGATGAAACGGGAGGAAAGATGTACCCAAGCAGGGGAACCAGAGTATTATCACTACATGCCACCTGCTCATTGCAAGGTGAAACCCAATTTTCAATTTCTACTTTTCATGAGGTCTACAGAGCAAACACAGACTGAGTGCGAGCCATCAAAAGAAGAGAAGAAAATGGCTGCTCCAAGCAAAGCAAAGCCTTCAAAACAGACAGAAAGTAAAGGGGAGAAGACCATAGCTGGTGATGGAAAGGCAGCAGAAAGCATTGTTTCTCCAAGTTTACCTAAGGCAGAGAAGAAAGAGGCTGATGAAGGCAAAGAAAAGCCTAACGCCAATTTAAATGAAGACCCTCCCAAGAAATCCCCAACGCCTGCAAAAGAACAGCCAGAGCGTCCAAAACACCCAACTGGTCCCTTTTTTTCCGGTTTTGAGCAAGGATGAGAGCACAACTCTACAGTGGCCAACTGAGCTCCTCATATTCACCCAAGCAGAGCCTTCAATCTCCTACAGCTGTAACCCTTTATACTTTGACTTCAAGCTTTCCCGGAACAAAGATGGCAAAGGAAAGCTGGCTGGCAAGGCGAAAGACAACCCTGGCACTAGCAAAGATAGCCTACCTCCCACTGAGGCAAACAAAGACCACATTGTCGCAGTAAAGAAGGAAGGCGTTTCTGTGGCACTTACTTGTGGAACCCAGTCAAAGGCTTCCTCTGCACCTCTAAGTGATCTCAAACCTGAATCCGTTGAGGAAGAGAACAAAGGAGAGTCAACAGGAAAGTCTCACAAGCACAAAAAGAAAAAAAAGCACAAGAAAAGCAGCAAACGCAAACGAAAACACAAAGAAGGAGATGAGGGGCCAGAGCAGAAAACGAAGAAAAAGGAAGAAACATAAGCACAAAAAGGCAAAGGGTTCCTCCAAAACAGTGTTAAAGGTAGAAGAGACTGAGCCTAGTCCATCTCCTGCCTTGAAAAGCCACACTAAAGAGTTGGGCACTCAAAAGTCTGTGAATAAAGAGGACAGTACTGGGAACGTCCCTACAAAACAGGACCTTCCTGCTTCCTCCAAAGAGCCTGAAAACAAAAAGTCTAAAACAGAACTGAAACTATCACTTCCACCTCCTGCTACTGTCCCGTCATCATCCTCATCTCACCGAAATACACCCAAAAAGGCCAGAAGCCGACACAGTAGTGGTGACTATGACAGTGAAGATGATGGAGGAAGGAAAAAATCCACCTCTAGATATAGTGATGAGTATGATTCCACTAGTGACCGCTCCAGAAGTCGATCAAGGTCTGGAAAGAGACGACGGTCCTACTCATCCAGTTCAGGTGGCTCTACAGATAGAAGTCGATACAGTCACAATCGAAGTTATTCAGACAGTGACTACAGTGATTACAGCAGTGGGTCGAGGCAGCGATCCAAAAGGCGGTCACCAGGTTCAGACTCTGATTCTGTGGCTTCTAAGAGACATTCCACCAGGCATAAATACTCCTCTTCTGACTACAGTCGCAGTCGTTCTAGAAGTAGAAGCCGCTCAAGAGGAAGTAGGAGCCGAGGCAGAGGGAGGTCTAGCAGTAGTAGCCGAAGTCGGAGTAAGAGGAGAAGTCGCAGCATGACAGGTCACAGTTGGAAGCGTAGTCGCAGTTATAGTAGAGACCGGAGCACAAGCGCTCGTAGTCATTCTGGAAAAGGGTCACATGGGCGAGACAGTGTAGATAGTCGTCGAGGTGGTAGGCGGGACTTTAACCGCTCTAAGATATATCGTTCTCAGTCTCCACATTTTGCTCGCTCTGGAAGCCGGAGAGAGGAGAGTCGAGGATCAGAACCAAAAGGAATGAGTAGCTCCAACCAGCCACGTAAGAGCACTGAAAAAGACTCTGGCCGATGTTCTCTAACAGCTAAGCAACTCCTTGAGAAAATTCAGTCACGCCGTTTGGAAAAGGCAGCAGGATCCACAGAGGATGGAACCTCAAAGCCAGGAGCTAAAGTAAAAGATCCACCTCAGGGATATTTTGGGCCCAAGTTACCACCTGCTCTTGGCAATAAATCTGCACAACTGCCTATGATAGGCAAATTACCAGCAGGATCTAAATGCACGGGTCTGCTGAAAGCAGAGACTGATTCAAGTGAGGTTTCTGTTACTGTAGATGGGGAGCAGGACAAAGACACTAAGCTTTCTTCACAGGTGGACAATGCTCCACCACCAGAGCCACCTGCACCAACTACAGAACATCTGCCAGCAGAAAGCACTGTCTGCTTTCAGCCACCTCCTCCAGAGCTTGCAGAAGCCGCTGTACCACAACCCTTGGGCAATGGTAGTCTTCCTTTTCCACCTATTCATGGAAGGATAATGCCACCACCACCTGAGGGTGAATTTTTTCATCCATCAACATATCCACCTATTGAAGTGGATTCAAATGCCCCCCCTCCTGAAGGTGAAGATGAAGAGGAGGGAGTGGAGGAAGAAGAGGACGAGGGTTCTTTGGCTCCTCTGGAAAGCCAGCCTATCACTTTCACGCCTGAAGAAATGGAGAAGTACAGTAAGCTACAGCAAGCAGCCCAGCAACATATACAGCAACAGCTTTTGGCCAAGCAGGTCAAGAGTTTCCCAGCAGGGGCAATTCCACATGCCCTGCAGCCTGCAACACCTACCCTTCAGCCTATTCATATTCAGCAAGCACCCCCTCCAGTGTCTGCTGCCTCCATAACCACTGTGCAACATGCCATCCTTCAGCATGCAGCAGCTGCTGCAGCCATCGGCATCCCTCCCCATCCACAGCCTCTGGCCCAAGTCCACCACATCCCTCAACCACATCTAGCACCTATCTCACTTTCCCACCTCACACATTCTCTCATCCCAGCCCACCCAGCTGCTTTCCTGGCTAGCCACCCCATACATATAATCCCAGCCTCTGCCATCCACCCTGCTGGACCTCTCACGCTTCATCATGTACCCCATGCCCTCTATCCGACTCTGCTTGCTCCTCGGCCAGCCTCAGCGGCAGCAGCTACAGCTTTGCACCTGCACCCTCTGCTTCACCCCATCTTCTCGGGCCAGGACCTTCAGCACCCTCCTAGTCACGGGACATGAGATGGCCCTCATGAACTTGACAACTGCACCAGATCTTGGCACTGAAGAAGGGCATTAAAACTTGTAGGGCAAAGCTCCAAAGGGCAATGAATGCAGTACAAAGATTTTCTGTGCCCGCTTGGTGGGGTGAAGACACGTTGGCCTACACTGCTAAGTCTGTTCCTTGTCCTAGGTTTACCATATCTTCCATTTTATTTCAACTTTGGGGGGGGGGGATTATTCATCTATGTATAGCTTCTAAAGTCACAATTTTTCTTTCCAGTTATAACAATGTAGTTACCAGGTGTGTGTCAGCACCACCGCTTATACGTTGAAATCCTTAGAGAGGATGTCACCAGTGGTGGGATGTTCATTTGTAGTCTTGAGATGAACACACCTGAATCTAGGGCAGAGGCACATTGACACAGTCTGCAAAGGCTTTGAGATTATAATTTCATCCCCACCAGAAGTGGGGTCATACCTTTTGGGAAGGTAAAACAGTTCTATGTATGTTTCGTTGTGTATTTAGCTTTCGGCAGGAATTGCAAAACTGGTCACTTGACATGGGTTATAGCATTAATCCAAAAGGCGAATGGGGGAGGGGGGCGTGGGACATTCTACATGAATGTTGGTCTCTGCTGACACTTATTTCCCAAGTGATTTCCTGTATAGAATAGGCCACTGGCAGAAATGGACACAGTTGCCTCTCCACAATGATGTCAACCCAAATCATGAGGTTGAGGATGCAGTGATGGAAAAAGTCTGAAAAGAAGATTTATAAAGGCATCTGCACTCTGTATTATATTTTCTTCTTGCTGTAGTGTATATTAAACTGAAAGGGCAAAAGTATAGTTTTTAACTAGTTTGCAAAAAACAAAAACTATTTCTGCTGCTGTGGCATGTATATTTTATCAGACCTTTTTTTTTTTTTTTTTGATGTTTCTATGTATGATACAACTGTACAAAAAAGTCATAAAAGAGAAAACCTTACAGGTTTGAGAAAAATACATGTAATATTATACGAAGACTAATAAAAGAACAAAAGATTTGTGTTAAATTCCTTCCTTTCTTCCTAAATATGTGCATCTGTAACGAGTTTCAAGGACCTTTTTTTCTTTTTTTTTTCTCTCTTTTTTTTTTTTTAATTTATTTTTATTATTTTTTTAGTCTAAAGGGCACATGTAGGAGGAATATACTATATATAGGCTTTTTGTTGGCACTGTCTTTCTAATTCTGATTGGCCAAAAATGCCCACAGCCGTATCATTCATTCACACAGATCTATGAATGAAGAAGTACTGTCTTCCACTGCAGCAGGTAGCTTGCAGTTCTCAATGAACCGTGAAGGCGTTGGCGATCCCTCTCTTAGTTTATTGATCTTCCTGGAGTTCAGTAACTGCCTGCCTGTACGGGAGCTCTTGGTGGCACAGGCAGACTGCTAACTGACAGTCTGCAGGAGCTTGGCATTGCACCCATGATCAGCTGATCATGGGACCAATGCTTTAAAGGTTCCTGGGTAAAAATAATAAATGCACATTTTTATTTGCAAAAAAGTGCAATTTTTTTTTGTCAACTACTGATCATGGATGCACTGCTTTCATGAAAAATAATAAAAAAAAATTCTGCACAAAGTGCATTTATTATTCCTATTAAGATGAACTTATCTCTTACCTTTGTACCGGGGTCTCCCACATAGCTTCCCCTGTGATTTTGTGGAATCGAATTCTCACACACAGAGCCATTTAAACTGTTAGAAAAATGTTTGTCTACTGTCACCCACAAAGTGTTGCTTCTTGCAGCCATCACCTCTGCAAGGTGGGTTTCTAATGCAAGGAACCCTCTCCGGTTTTAGGTGGAATAAGATGGCGTTGAGGCCCAGCATGCCCTTCTTGCATAAAGCGGTATTAAACCCAAGACCAAAATATAATATATTGCAGCTTACCAATTCTTAGATTTGGTGGCTGCATTCGTTTTTCTTTTTAAGCTTTTTTTTTCTCTGTTTTCACCTGGTGATCTGGCCAGTAACACACCACCTGTATTAGAGTGCCCCACTGTGGATGAAGGAGCACAGGGGCACCGTTGAACAGTAGCATTGACAGTTTGGGGAGGGGGGAGTCAGATGTACTAGCAGATTTATAGTGGGGAAATGATTTGGTCCCCTGCAGTTTTTGTAAGTTTGCCCACTTGCAAAAAAAATTTGAGGGTCTATAATTTTTATCCTAGGTGTACTTTAAACGATACAGTGACAGATTTATCAACCAAAAATCCAGAAAAAAACACGATACAAATTTTATAAATGGAGTTCAGAGACTTGGTGCTTGGTGGAGAAACTCTTGTTGGCAAACACAGAGGTAAAACATTTGTAGTTGATCACCAGGTTTGCACACATCTCAGGGATTTTGGTCCATTCTTCTTTTCAGATCTTCTCTAAATCCTTAAAGCAGAGTTCCAGTTGAAAAATAAAATAAAAGCAGCTACAAACTGTAGCTGCTGACTTTTTAAATACACTTACCTGTCCCACGATCCAGCGGTGTCCTCACCACCGTTGGTTTCACTGGCTGTCTCCTCTCCCCGGCGCTGGCATCTTCAGTGTGGGCACTCGGCTGTGACAGCTTGCGGCTTCACAGCTGGGTGCCCACTGCACATGTGCGAGAAGTGCTGCGCTTTGTGAATGGTCCCGTAGTCTTCTGGGACCTGTCACGTGTCCCAGAAGACTATGGGGAGGACCAATTCCTCTTTCGATCTCCTTAGGCAATCGCAGTGGGATCGGGTACCCGCTCCCCAAAGGTGCCAATCCTTAAAGGGGAGCGGAGAAGATAGGCTTAAAGCGGAACTTCCCCTTTTGGGTGGAGCTCCGCTTTAAGTTTCTTGGCTGTCACTTGGCAACTCAAAGTTCCCTCCATAAATTTTCTTTAGGATTAATGTTTGGAGACTGGCTAGGCCACTCCATGACCTAATGTGCTTCTTGAGCCACTTTTTTGTTGCCTTAGTGATATGTTTTGGGTCATTATCATGCTGAGAGAGACCCATCTTCAGTGTTCTGGCTGAGGGAAGAAGGGTCTCATTAAGATTTTACAATACATGGCCCAGCCCATTGGCTCTTTAATGCGGTAAAGTCGGCTTGTACCTTTAGCAGAGAAACAGCCCCAAAGCATAATGTTTCCACCTCCGTGCTTGACTGTAAAAATGGTGTTCTTAGGATCATAGACAGCATTTTTCTTCCTCCAAACACGGCGAGTTGAGATAATGCCAAAGAGCTCAATTTTGGTTTTAGCTGACCACAGCACTTTTTCCCAGTTCTTCTCTGGATCATTTAGGCATTCATTGGCAAACTTCAGATGGGCTTGTACATGTGCCTTCTTGAGGAGGGGGGGAGGGGTATTGCGGCGCTGCAGGATTTCAATCCATGCCGGTGTATTGTGTTACCAATGGTTTGTTTGGTGACTGTGGCCCCAACTGCCTTGAGATCATTCAAAAGCTTCTCCCGTGTAGTTCTGGGCTGAATCCTCGCTGTTCTCATGATCATCTTTACCCCATGATGCAAAATCTTGCATGGAACTCCAGACCGATTGATGGTTATTTTGTATTTCTTCCATTTGTGAAAAATCTCTCCGTTTGCCTCCTCACCAAGCTTCTTGCTGATGGTCTTGTAGCCCATTCCAGCCTTGTGTAGGTCTACAATCTTGTCCCTGACATCCTTTGACAGCTGTTTGGTCTTGCCCATGGTGGTGAGGTTTGAATGGGAGAAAAGGATTCTGTAGACAGGTGTCTTTTATACACATAACAAGTTTGTCAGTAGGAGCACCTTCTTAAATTGAGAGGACTAATCTTCGTACCACATGAGCACATCGCCAGTCTGTGGAACCCAAAATTATTGTTGGTTGGTAGGGAATCAAATACTTTACTCACTGAACTGAACTCAATTTATAGCATTTGTATTGTGTTTTTTTCTGGATTTTTTTAGTTGATATTCTGTCCCTATCATTTGAAATACACCTATGATAAAAATGATAGACCATTTCTTTGCAAGTGGGCAAACTTACAAAATCTGCAGGGGATCAAATAATTACTTTACCCACTGGATACACTAACAAATTAAAGACATACATGAATAAGTAAAAGCTGATCCTTGTAAGCACTCCTGTCACTGGTAAATGGTTTGTCATAACTCTCAAACTGCTACATTTGCAGGAACGCTTGTTCTGTTGAAAAACAACACACTTGCTGGCCCGATCACAGTTGAAACTAAAGGAAAGAAATCCTAAAGGAAACAAATTCAGCCGAATTGGTAAGCTGCAATATAATAAATATTTGTGTTTGGGCCTAATACCACTTTAAGATAGCTTGTCTGGATGGCCATTGTCTGAATGTGGTTTAGGTTGTGAGAATTTCTTTCAGAAAGACGGATTCCATATTTGTAATCCTAAATGAATACCGGCTTCTTGTTGCACCATCTCTAGATGGCTGAGGCAGTCCATCATTCATGCATATGGTCTCAAGGATTGATTTCCACCCTTTCCTGTCAATGCACACTCAACTAGGTCTATGTATTCTTTTTGAGATCAGGTATTGGTTTCTGAGATATGAAAGGGTGCCACTTGGTCTTCTCTTAATTTTCTAATTCATATTAGGTGGACATTTTATCCTCATCTGATGCTAGCAGAGGGGGCTTTCTTGAGCTGCTGGCAGTTTTTTTTTTTGGGGGGGGGGGGGGGGGGGGGGCTGTTAGTGCTCGTTTGCTTTGTTTTCATCCCTCATTTGGACAGCTTTTGGATGTCCCGAAGCTTTAAAGCCAAGTTTACCTTTAACGTGTTGCTATGGACCAGTCTCTGTACTCCCTGATTTCCTTCTCCCTCTCCCATGACAGCGGGAAGGGGTGCCTCTCCCTGAGTCACAATTTAAAAACAGTGGGGCTGTGTGATTTATTCACTGGAATCTGAATGAATAAACTACAAGTTCTATCTGCCACCACAGCAGACATCTTGTAGTTATCTGTGAACTACCAGGGTGCTGATTAGCACT